CATGAGGCTGGAGGCTTACGTTTTCTGCTGTCGATGACTGCATTAGGTTATTTTCGTACTCTCTACTCGATTGCCGTGCGAGCGGCCCACCCGCCCTTTCACTAACAGCCAAATGGCTGATCGGAATTGTCTTTGAAGGGTTTGGGTACCGCGGGAGTGTGGTCGCAGACGCAATGGCCTTCCCCACAATAAGTTAGTAGTGAGTACGGATCACGCGATGACGTTTAAGCAATGTCACGACCACCTCTACACAATTCGGTGACGGTTATCACTGATACATTATTACATTTCTAGCGTCTGTACCGATGACTTGCAGCTGCCGCAGCACTTGACTTGGTCAATTGTGGACTTTGGCATACCAGATATTGGTCCCATGTGGCCTATCCTATACATAATCTTCATCATATTGCTTGTATTTTCAGCATACTTTTAACTGCTGACCGCGGCATCTCGCCGGGGAACGAAGGAAACGCGTGCAGAAATTTCCAGCGGTCGACAACGCACGTTGGCCGGCATGCTGACCGGTCGTAAAGCCACTGCTGATCCCCCAGCAACATATATTGAGGCGGAAGAGCCGTTACTTGGGCCATCGGGCAGCGCCGGTGAAGCTCTCCAGGTCTACTTTTCCCAGCACCACCACCTCCCACCTCCGGAAACGCCAGCACCGTGGCCCTTCCTCCACAGAAGAAAAGGCACACTCAAGCCAACACTGCCTCCACCGGTCCCAGTCAGCAGCCAGCACCTCTCCTGCCCACCACCCCCAACACCACCGCTACGAACAGCAGCCGGCAACACTCCTGCCCCCCGCCACCCCCAATGCCACCGCCAACCTGCAACGGAAGCGCACCAAGTCCACCAATAAGATCGATGCCGTTGGTGTCCCCCCGGGGTTTGAGCGGCCTCGTAATCCCAACGAGGACATTATTTGGCTGACTGACACTTGTGGTGGTGATTTCAAGAGCTGGGCCTATGCACTTCAGGGCTCGACGACGGTCATCTGTTTTTTTGCGACACACATAAGGAGAGTAACGCCACCATTTCCCGCACGAACTGGGATTGCTCAGCTTACACCCGGCACGAGGCCTCCTACTCCCACAAAGCGGCTGTAGTCCAGTACACGCAGGATCAGCAGCAACAGCAAACTGACAAGCACCTGGCCATGACCGAGGTTGCCGACAATCCCTTGTTGGCTCTGTTTTGTGGCGCATACATGGTCCTGTACCAAGCCATGCCTTTCACTCACTTCCCAACGATCTGTGAATACATGGACTGGCTTAAAGTACCAAACATCACCGGCTTAAGTTCAACGAAGGTCTTTTTGTGAAGCTGAGTATGTCGGGTCCTTGAAGAAGGAGGATGCAATGTTGAAGGGGGCGATGGCCAAGTACAAGTCCTCCACTAGGATGCACCTTACACGCATATCACCGATAAGGTCGAGAATATCCTTCACGCCCCGCGCTTCAACCGCATGCGGTCGGCGATGAATAGCTCGGGGGCGATGCTAACTTCATGGCGCAAGAACTTGCTTGGCAACGAACCCTTGCCCCCCCTGCAATGTGTACGGAACGTGGAGCCCTGAAATGCTGTCTCTTTTGGCGCCGGAAGGCGCCAAAATTTTTTTAGGTTTATTGACCGAAATTATGCCCTCCCGCAGCCGTAGAAACCGATTTGCCGACCTCTGAACATGATTGAGAACTTGTACGGCGTGGCAGAATTTGCGGCGATGCTGACCATGGACCTGGCTACGGCATATCGGGGTCTATCGTTGCTGCCTGCCGTACTTGACAGAAATGACACGCAGGGCACGGCAAGAACACATGCCATCATATCTGGTTGAGGTTGAGAACCATTCCGGTTACCGATCAACAGCAGACGTACGCGGATAGTTATCACAGCTACGTTAGCACATACATTCCCCAAACATGCGGGAATCCTTGCCGCTGAACTGAAATCTCTCAATTTCTCTATCTCTCGCCCAGTACCGGTATACCAATGTTTCCACAATTGCACGGTTCGGAACAAATAGTGCAGATAAATGCAATAATTCGGCCACCATTATGGCTGCCACGGTTTGGCGTGCAGGGGTTGGTGCTGGCTGGCTGGCTGGCTGGCTGGCTGGCTGGCTCCTTTGTGCAATCTGGTCTTCTTATCGATAAGCCAGCAAACCGGCACGATGAGCGGCCGCGGTCGGGACCTTGGTCGACGCAATTGCTATGCGTGGTAATGTGCAGGGCCAAGCACGGCGAGTAAACGCCGCTATAAACCAATTTTTCACTGGTGAAGAGCCTGTATACAGTAAGCCTTACCTTGCTTGGCCTGCGTCGCCAGCAGCAGTGACTGTGCCGCCGACCCTGCTGGCGGTTTGCATCTCTCAGAATATCGGTGACACGCTTGACACGTCAGTGATCCCATGATGGGAAGTCTTATCTTCAAAAGACAATGCCTGTACACCCAAAAGCTTGAAAACGTTCCAAAATGTGTAAAGCAACAACCCGACATATAACCCTTATGGCGTGGCGTAAGTTACAATCCATACACGGCGCGTCGCGGTGTGCCTCTTCACTTATGATGTGTGAAACAGGGGGTGTATCTTCGCCCGTGGCAGCTACCCGGCGAAACCCTGCCTTCCCCGGTATTTCGGGGCACCCTCATCCAGTCACCCTAGTCAACTTCTCAGTGAATCGCTCAGGTTCCGCACCCACCACCAGCGTCCAACGGAATCTGCCGGGTCGACAGCGGCCCAACTCCGTTCTTGGTCGGCTCGCAGGTTAACTTTATCCCAGGTCACCACCGTCCATGAACTAGGGGCGCAATGCCTTCCACCATCGGAAGGACTTTTGACACTAATGGGTATCGATCCCGGGGGCAATGGTCGCGCCTTACCAGTAGTGCCAGACCCTGTATGTATGTATGTAAGAATATTTTTATGTACTCTTTGCAAGTGGAGCTCGTGTGCTCCAGCAGCGGTGCTATGCCCAATCTATCGGCACGTGGTGGCTTCAGCACACTGTCACTGTTGTAACTACCAGTGTATTAAGCAAGCAGTTAAGACGAGCCTAAATAGGTAGTTGAAGACGTTGTATAGCCGTCATGTATCGCCATCCGCTGTCATGCGCCTCAATGGTGACGCCACCCAGTGTTCGTGTTGAATGTTCAAATGTTAACATCAGCTGTGGTCCAACGAGCAACGATGCAAGCGGCTGGCAAAGAGGTGTCCTCGGATACGTTTACTGTATGTATGTGTGTATTCCACCTTGCCACGCCTGTCTGTAAAACAAGATACTCTAGATCCTTCCGGCCAAAAGGATTTATCATTAGGGTGGCCCATCGGCAGGGTAAAGGCCGGGTGGCAACTCCCTTCGGTGACCCTACCGAGGCCTTTACCCTGCCGACCGATGGGGCCCGATGGTTACCGATCAGTGACCGGTAGGAGAATGCATGCTACCGGGTATCGTTCGTGCGGAAATGTGCTTGACTGCAACCGCAGTAATTGAACGCATGGGAATGAAAAGGGCTGCGAGGCAGCTTGCAGCAGGATTGTGGACGGCAGATTTATGTACATTTACGAGGTAACGTGCTTTGGAGTAGCCAAGCTCCAACAGCTGCAACAGCGGCAGCAGCTAAACACAACCGCCAGGATTAACATCAGCAGCCGTCTGCACTCGCTCGCTAATATGGGATAGATTTGTGGGCATCTGGCACATGTTTAGCAAGTTGTTAGCCATTCAGACAGTCAACTCCAGTACCAAGCTGTACAGCTACTCCCAAGTAAGCAACGGCACAGCAGATTCCATACATACTTAAACAGGTGAAAGCAGGTGGCCTATCATTCCATCATCCTGCCTGCCTGCCTGCCTCGTTCCCCAGACGACGAAAGGTTGCCAGGCGCGCCCAAGACGACGAAAGGTTGTATTTGTTGCATCTTCCAAGCCAAGCCATCGTATATCTTTGTATGTTTGTTTGTATGCCTCATCGGCTGGATGGCTCTGGTAAATGAAGACAGCATCTTTCCTTAAGTGGTCGACCCAAGACGACGTGTTCAACATCCCTCATTGCGACGTCTCCGCCCACATTCAAACAAAGACGCGGTCGCTCCTCTATCCGCCGTGACAACGATCCATGCATCCACAAATCCAATCCACTAAGGGAGCTGTCCGGGAGAGGGGGAGGAGCAGGGGGAGGGGGGGAGGAGGGGGAGGGGGGGGAGGACTCCACAGCTGAATATCCACCGTCCATCTGCAAACCCAGATGCCTATTTTGGAACCTTGCTTTTGAGCTAACTAGCCAACATGATAAAAAAATGTAGATAGCTAGCCAAAGCTGACAAAAAGCTAATCAGGAAGTCAGGTAGACAGGGAGATGTTTTCAGATGTAATTCAGCTGCCAAAACTGCCATCTGGCCTGGCGCCGTCCTCTGTGAAGCTTCTGGTATTGATGGCCGCAGCGGCAGCTGCGTCGCCGTCACCGCCGCCGCTGCCTACAAACGCTGGCAGGTCGTACGGCGCCAGCATCTTGGATGGCTGTACGACACGGTCAAACTCCTCGCCGCTGACCAGGCCCAAATCCAGCGCAGCCTCTCGAAGTGTGATCCCCTCGCTGTGCGCCTTCTTAGCAACTCGGGCGGCAGCGTCGTACCCTGCGTTGCCAGTACCGCGGAACGCCGTACGTTCATTGTACGCCCATCAATACTACCAGTGCAATGCTGCCAGACGCGCGCAGGAGAAAAACACACACGCAACCCCCCTGTTCTCCCGGGCTGTGAAGGCGATCCCCAGAGCCCTCAAACCCCATCACAGCCCCGCACAACGCTCTACCCGCATCACCCTCACCAATTACGGGATTCAGGGCTGTCACGAGCATTAGCGCCCCCAGTACCAGCCGGGCAATCCTGGCCTCGTCCGCACGGAGCCCCGAAACCAGGTGCACCGTGAAGGACCTGACGGCATCGGCCAGCAGCCCGGTGGAACGCAGTACTGCAGCTGCAATCAGCGGTTTGCATGTGTTAAGCTCGAGCTGGCCGCCGGCGGCGCTGCCGGCCACGGTGACGGCTGTGTGATTCCCCATCACCAGTGCGCACACCATGATCAGGGCCTCCACCTGCGTGGGGTTCACCTGCGCGATGGAGGAGACAGCCGCCGGTCGTGTATTGGAGAGAGGGGGGAAGAAGGGGAGGGATGGGGAGAGAGAGAAAGAGAGGGGGGAGAAGGGGAGGGATGGGGAGAGAGAGAAAGAGAGGGGGGAGAGAGAGAGGGAGGGAGGGAGAGAGGGCGGGAGGGAGAGAGGGCGGGAGGGAGAGAGGGCGGGAGGGAGAGAGGGCGGGAGAGAGGGAGAGAGAGAGAGACACTGGGGGCCCGGGGGACTCCCGTCCATAACGGAATGTTGGCTGGAATGTGATGATGAAGGCCGCCTGTGTGTTTCAAGCCCGTTGTAGTCGTTGTGAAACGTTCCGGACGCTCTATAAAAACGTTCCTAGTCCTGCTAGCCATGTGCAGGAGATGATGTCCTTCTAGGAGGCATCCAGCGCGACTGGTCATCGTGGAAAACCGAGCCTAAGCCATTAAGCAGTAATGGCGCGATCAGAAGCTGCAAAAGCTGCTTCTCACTCACGCAACACAACACAACACACAGCACCCGCAGTCGCTTTCTTTTATCTACATGGAGTGTCTTCTTGTCTGGATAAGGGTATTATGTTATTCGTATACGATCAATAAAAAATGCCAAAGTTGCCGTACAGCAGTACAGGTGGTTCGTACTACCTTGCCCGGCATGATTGAGCTGCCCGGCTCGTTGGCGGGAAGCAGCAGCTCCCCGATGCCACATCGTGGACCGCTGCCCAGGAGACGTATGTCGTTACCGATCTGCAGGTGGACAGTATACCCATCCTTCTCGGTGCATGAGCAGGTGTCGTACGAAGTACTTCAGGTGCTGCCGCTCCCGTCCGTAACCCCGCATAAACACATACATAAATACACACACACACAGACCTCGAAATGCGCACATCCTTAAAATATATAAAGCCCCGGTACGGAAACCCCAGGTTTGAAGGCGGCAGCACACACGTAGACGCAGCTTTTCTCTCCCACAAATCCCTCCCTCCCCGGCCCCCCCCCCGCGCCCCCGCGGCCACCCCCCGCGGCCCCCCCCGCCCTCCCTCGCCTTGCTCAGAGACACCGCCAGGGTGTTTAGCGCGCCGCTCAGATGTACGGCGGCGTCGTGAGCCGCCAGGGCCTCGAACTTGTTGGGTGCGGTGACGAAGGGAAGACCCGTATCGCGAGCGAGCGCCTCAGCCACCGCCTCCGCGAAGCCTACGTCCGTGACCGTGTGCATGTGCGTGTGCGCTTGTGAGTTTGTCGTACCATACGGATGTACGGATATGTACGTACATACATCGAGCTCGTGGCGGGGCCATTTTATGGTGGGAGCCGTGTCTGGTGGCGAGATGGGTGGTGGGATAGAATTCCGGTTGGGCTCTATCGAGCCGTCCCCCCTCACTTACATACCTACTCACATACCTATACCCAGTCACCTAGCCCCCCACCCCCCCACCCCCCACCCCCCAAAGCCACTTACACACCTACCCCGGAATGTGTTAAGACCAGTGCCCACTGCCGTACCGCCCTGAGCCAGCATGTACACGTGGCCCATGGCATGCCGTACACGCTCAATGCCGTACTGCACCTGCAGCAGCCGTACGGAAGGACAGGGTTAAGAGTGCCGTAATACATAGTTACGTTATGAGATTGAGTGCCGTACACCCTTCGTCGTTTCCTCCATTTCCCACCCCTACATGCGGGGTCCAATCCCTTAAGAACGCGTCCGCACTGCGGGGTTTCGACCGCAGCCGCGAGGGGGCTTCCGAAAGTGCGTCTTCAGACCCGACAGCAGGGATGAGTGAAGCCTGCATGGTGGTGCTGTGCTGTTCACAGAAGCATTACGATATGTTTGTACGGTACATCGTGTAATAAAATCGTAATAACGACTTGACGCCTGGCGTAACTATATTTCCTGGTCATTAAAACCTTTTTTGCCGTACTTGCCGAATATTGTCGTACCTGCGTGGCATACCCGCTGAACTCCTGTCCCAGCGTGAGTGGCGTGGCGTCCTGTGTGTGTGTGCGCCCGATCTTGATGATGCGCGCGAATTCGTGCGACTTCGCGGCCAGGGCCTCCTGGGAGTCAGGTTCGGGGTTCGAACCGCACAGCGGGCGAGTCAGAAACCGCGACATGTGCAGGGCAGTTGACTAAGGAAGACGGCAATCGAAGCCAGATAACGGAAGTGGCACGCATACAGGCGCGCATACATATTCACACAAAAATCAACACACACACACACACACACATGCACACACGCGCACAGACACACTTACATACACACTCACATACAGCCGCACCTGCAACCCCTGCAGTGCCGGCAGCAGGCGGTGGTGGACCTGTAGCGCCACCGCCACGTGCATGGCTGTAGGGAATGTACTGCATTGCCGTACAGCAGCACATTTACAGTCGCAATGTAAACGTGCCGTACAATCCGTACATGCAGGATACGGAGACACGGCAGCAGCGCACGGAAGGAGCGGGCGCGGGTGGCCCGGGCGCATTGGTGTATGTGTGTGGGGTGTGAGAGGGGGCGAAATTGGGAGGGCGGAGATGTAAACGAGGTCAGGACCGGAAAACAGTGGTCGACAACAACAACGGACATCCTAAGTGGGTTGGGGCGGGGGGGAGACTCCTGGGTGGGGGGAAGAAGCCCCCAAACGGTCGCCCCCAAGCACCGACAACGTCCAAAGAGCAGGCAGCAAGTTTAATTTTCCCTTCCCCTCGGTCCTCCCTCCTCCCTCCTTCCTCCCTCTTCTCCTTCTTCCTCACGGGCGGGGACCTCGGCATCCGGGCTTTAGGAATTTGGGGGTTTAGCATCAGCGTCATGTGGTGCCACACCGGCGTCTCCCCTTCTCCCCCCCTAAAGTCAGGATGATGATAAAACGACGGAACTGGGTCCTCCCCCCCCCGGCAGGGGGCTCCGCCATTCCCTTCTCCTCCCTTGGCGGGGTGCCGGTGGGGTGGTGGGAGAATCTCGCTCTCTGCCCCCCCCGGGGGCCCACGTACTCGTTGGAGCTCTGTCCCAAGTTGACGTGGTCGTTAGGGTGTACGGCAGTGGCCCCGTTGGGCGACGTGGCGGCCAGGATCTCGGCGGCCCTGTGATGCGCACGTGTGTGTATAAGGGGGGGATGTGTGTATGGGGGAGGGAATGTGTGCAGGGGGGGATGTGTGTTGGTGGGGGGGGGGGGGGAGAAG